TCTGGTCCAGCATCCCGTTCTCACAGTGACCAACCAGATGTCTGTGGGAAACCAGGGAGCACATGAACATTTCTCCTCTCCAGTGATTTCCAGCCACTAAAATTCAGAAGCATTGCTGACTCGAGCTTTGGAGGTTGCGCATTGATAGCCCTTTCCTCCTCTCATTTAGGTGACAGTTTTTAAGAGAAAAAGCATCAGGGAGGACCGGTAACTCGCTCACTGACTTGCATAAAGGGTCAATAATGACCAAACAAAACATGCATACCAAACATAGAGGCTTCCTTTGCTTCAGTCTGGAATAGCAAAATCACAGTATGACAACATAGGAGAACAAGATTATTATGGCAATGGCAAAGGGAAGGTGATTCTTGACAGCAGATGACATGCCTGTGAAAAAAAATTCTCTTCTAAAAAGTACTGAGATAAAAAGGAGACATATCCTCATTTGTTAACTTGACTTTTAGTCACTCCTACCTGGTTGAGATAATGAATTGCCATAATCTCTCACACTGTTATGACATACATTTCTTTAGTTTGAGAGGAATAGCTGATTAATTCTAACTACAGCCATGCAAACACCCAGCGCATCAGAGGAGATGGAGGCATAGCTGAGTTCACACTATCCTGTTCTCTGCCCACGTTTGTAGACTAGGCCTCCTCAGCCAGGCATGGTTGGCTGGGAAGAGGAGAGACACGAAAGGGTGGCTTCTAAAATGCAGACACACACACGTGGGAAGAGCAACTGGATGTGGAGGCTACCAGTTTGTGGTGAATGTATGTCCAGAAGACAGGCTCGGAAGTAGGATGCACCTTTCCTAGTTCTGGTGGGAATTCTGGAGGTTTGGAGCAGGGGGGAGGGGCGCAGCTCTGGGGTCAGGCAGGAAAACAGGGAAGAAAAGTCAAGCAAGAGCAGGCCCTGAAAATGGCTTCTTGAGTCTCTCCTCCAACTGGCAAGGGTGGGGGTGGGCATTTGAAGCAGCTGCAGCAAACGGGGACCTCTACTTCTGTAGGATCCAGAGAAGTGAGGTACTGAGAGAAAAGCAGGTGAGTCAGACCCCCTGGGTTGTGGCTAACAAACATGTGTGATACTCAGCATAAGTGCTTTTAAAGGTAAAGGGACCCCTGACAAGACCAGTCGCGAACGACTCTGGGGTTGCGCGCTCATCTCATTCTATAGGCCGAAGGAGCCGGTGTTTGTCCACAGACAGCTTCTGGGTCATGTGGCCAGCATGACTAAGCCACTTCTGGCGAACCAGAGCAGCGCATGGAAACCCCATTTACCTTCCCACCAGAGCGGTACCTATTTTTCTACTTGCACTTTGATATGCTTTCATAGAATCATAGAATCATAGAGTTGGAAGAGACCACAAGGGCTATCGAGTCCAACCCCCTGCCAAGCAGGAAAACTGCTAGGTGGGCAGGAGCTGGGACTGAAAAATGGGAGCTCACCCCATCACGGGGATTCGAACCGCTGACCTTTTGATCAGCAAGCCCTAGGCTCAGTGGTTTAGACCACAGCACCATTTTAGGTGGAGTGATATTCAACTTTCCCCATAAACAAAAGGTACAAAGGATCAGGGAGGTGTCATTTAGCATAGCTCTGTACCCCCTGGGGTCAGGTTGATATGGAACCTCACCCTGATAGAATTCTCTTTTGTTGGGACAGATGGTGGTACCTGCTCTCTTCAGCTAGTTTGATGAGATCAGCAGTTGAACAATGGGCTCCTCTCCTGAGGGCCACTCTCTTGCAATTATTTTCAATTGCATTGATTGGATTGTGAAAGGCCCCCATATTCTGTGCATATGACTTGGGATGTCACCTCCCCTAAGGTAACCAATTTAACTCATTGGGCTACATTTTCCATCATGCCTTCTGCAACTCCTTTAAAAAGTGAATCAAACCGAAGCCAAGTTTTAAAATCATATAGGCAATTTTGGAGTGAAGTGTCTTCCAAGTTCATAAGCTAGTAGCTAGCCTGCCAACACCCACCCTGGTCATTTCCTCTAGTTACAAGGAAGCAGGAAGGCTTGCAACAATCAAGGAATATGCATTTGCTTAACCTTATGTTTAAGAAAACGGTATGTTATTAAAGCCACAGTCAGTATGCAAAGAGTAGAAGTAACAGGGCTTGTCCTGGTTTTATAGAAGCCAATGTAATAGCACGTATTGAAGCTTTTCGCCAACTCTAAACTGACCTTATCTGCTTAGTCATAGAAAATAGAACATTGGAAAGTTAGAAGAAATTGGTATGTATGGCTTTCTAAGGCTTTCTATGTCAGCCTTTAACCCATGTTTCCTTGACTTAAACTACAGCACTCTTCTCAAGATAAATGTAAAAATGCACCTCATTTCATGGATTGCAAAATCCAGGTCTAGAATGGGCTTTCAATTTGCTCTGGTCCCCCCCCCGCTCAAAACTGACCACAAGGTTTTCAATAGGTCTGTTTCCAAATTCCATTGACATTTGACTTTTGAAGTCAGGTGTTCACATGACCTCATAACTTAATGAGGAACATTGACCTGGTGATCCTAAAATAGTGTCCACCTTTTAAATTGCTAATGTAAGTTTGCTAATTTGTTGACCCACAAAGAACAGTGACCTAAATTGTGATTTTAATGAGCTCATTGCAGTGGTGTATACGGTTCTGTGGTGATCATAAGTGTGTAGCACTATAACCTTCAGAGAGCAAAACCAGTGCCTAACTCAGTTTTTTTTTTTTTAAGGCTATATCTAACTATATCTAACGCTCCCGTCGTTCGGTCCCCAGCGCCTGCCAAACCAGCAGTTCGAAGCCCCGCGGTGAAGTAGATAAATAGGGACCGCTTACTGTGGGAAGGTAAACGGCGTTTCCGTTGCGGCTCTGGGCTCGCCCAGAGCAGCAATGTCACGCTGGCACGTGACCCGGAAGTGTCTCCAGACAGCGGCTGGCCCCGGCCTATAGAGTGAGATGGGCGCACAACCTAAGAGTCTGCAAGACTAGCCCGTACGGGCAGGGGTACCGTTTACCTAACTTGGGAGACCTTTCAAGCACTTGCCTAAGATTAGGGAAGGCAGACAGGGGGTTCTTTGAGTTTTGTTTTTAGCTCTTACAGTTGATACTGAGCCATATTCCCTCAATAATTAGGGCACTGCAAGTATATTGATTCCTTGATTGTTTACTAATACGTTTTACCAGAGCCAGACCAGGACATTTTGGCACCTGAGGTGAATTGCAAAATAGCCTCTCCCACTCCCCACCAGGGAGGAAGGGGTGAGTGAAAATCTGGATCAGAAACCAGGGAGGAATAGAGATCTGTTGTCAGGATCTGCTTCCTCTGTGGAAAATGCTGCCTGAGGCAGTCGCCTCACCTTGCCTCAAGGGTGGGCTGACCCTTTCACATCTTTCCCTGGTTTATTGCAGTGTGGTTTCAGGAAAGAACTTATTTATTCTTTGCTATAATAGTCTATATGTGCAAAGAGAATAATGAATAGGATTTGGAAGCACCCCACTTATTGTCTATCATAAAGGTAAAGGGACCCCTGACCATTAGGTCCAGTCGTGGCTGACTCTGGGGTTGCGGCGCTCATCTCGCTTTACTGGCCGAGGGAGCCAGTGTACAGCTTCTGGGTCATGTGGCCAGCATGACTAAGCCACTTCTGGCGAACCAGAGCAGCGCACGGAAACGCCGTTTACCTTCCTGCCGGAGTGGTACCTATTTATCTACTTGCACTTTGACGTGCTTTTGAACTGCTAGGTTGGCAGGAGCAGGGACCGAGCAACGGGAGCTCACCCTGTCGCAGGGATTTGAACCGCCGACCTTCTGATCGGCAAGTCCTAGGCTCTGTGGTTTAACCCACAGCGCCACCCGCGTCCCTTATTATTGTCTATCATAGCATCCATCTATTTCTTTCTTTCAGACTCTAAAAGCTTTTGAGGCAGGAGTTTTATTTGGTCAGGGCCCTAATACAGGGGTATCTTGCCCCATGACCAGGACTCAGACATTGTTAGTATATGGAAAAATAATAAGAGGAAGTGGGGAACCACAATAATTAATGGTGTTGTGGAGGATGCAGACAGATGCCTAGAAAGCATTGGCTAGAAATGTAGTTGAACTGTGTGTGGCATATTGATTCCTTGGCTGTAGATTTGGACACATTTGTGGCACTGAAGCCATGCACTTGGATTGCTTGGGTGATGGCTATGAAGAGTTGGGACAGAGTAGCTCAGTGCGTTGATTTTAGGATGTGAGACTTGAAGATGGAATAGGAATGCTGTCAGTGTGAATCCCAAAGAAACTGAGAAGGAAGTTATAAGAAAATGGATCTTATTTCTTGCATACCGGAATAATACGTTTCAAGACACTGTTCACTCCTGCACTGTATTAACTGATACAAGTTACCTACTTTCTACGAATAAATATTAATTGGAGGAGGAGAGAAAATCGACATTAGCAATGTTACAAGTGAGATCTGCAACAAAATGTTGCACTGTGACCTCCCTCCTAAAAGCAGTGCTCCTGTTCGTGGTTAAAACCAGCCATTTCCTCCAAACAGGGCACTTCATTCTCCCCAGCCCTGTTCTAATTTAAATGAGTGCCTGGGGAATCTTTGATGTATAACATTAAGGGTAGAGCAATTCAAAGGGGTTGGAGTGGGGTAATCCAAGGTGGAGGAACCACCAAATCCAAAATTGTGTTAATCTGTCTATCTATTTTCAAACCCTTCCCATTGGTCAAGATGGAAAGTAAAATCAGCATGTGAGCTCCCTATTCTGAGTGAGTGTGTACCCAAAGCCTCCTCCACAAAATTCATTTTACAGTTCTTTTTTTCATTATAAACAGCCTTTTAGCCATTATTGGAGCAGAGATCTGTGGAGAAGAAGAAGGTGCAAGATGTCTTGCCCCATGATATACTCACATGACATTTCACACTTTTATGCACCCAGAAGCATACCATTATTTAATGTTTCTTCTTGCATTTGCCTTCTGACATTGCATTTGCCTGTTGTTTTCTCGACAGTTTTCCACCTGTCCCATAAAGTCACCAGTGTGGTTCCAGAAAGTGTCTTGCTCATTGCGCTGGGCATTATCCTGGGAGGCATTGTGTTTGCAGCAGATCATATTGCCTCCTTCACCCTTACGCCAGACGTCTTTTTCTTCTACCTGCTGCCACCCATCGTCTTAGATGCAGGATACTTCATGCCAAACCGGCTCTTCTTTGGCAACCTGGGCACCATCCTTCTATATGCTGTCATCGGGACCATCTGGAATACTGTCACCACAGGCCTTTCGCTCTACGGGGTCTTTCTCACAGGAATAATGGGTAAGGCGTGCGTAATCATTATTTCATTATTAGCTATTGGCTCATGTTTTGTTGGGTTGTCCTGGGATGAGTAACTGTGGAGCTTTTGTCACATCAACCGCTCCAAGTCATGAACTTGGTACAAACCCGCTTTGCGCTGGTAGCAGCACCACAGCTGATAATTTATTACATATATTTATTGTTATATTTTTATCCTGCCCTTCTACCAAAGAGATCAGAGCAGTCTCTGTGGTTATTCCCTTCCAGCTACATTCTCACTGCAGACCCTGTGCATTCGGTTAAGTTAGGATGATATGCATGGTGAACTAGCAGCTTCTGAGAAAACTATGATCTTTGCATTTAAAGAAGATTGCCCATCTCAGGTTTCTCATCAAGATCCGGTTGCGTAAGTTTCGAAGCCAGTTTAGGCCTGTGTTTGGTTTACCCTTTCCTCTGAAGTTCCAGTAAAGATAGGCTGCCATCTTGGTAGCATTTAGGATTGGCAAGCCTCTTGATGTTTGTGTTAGGGCTCAGTTTACAATAGGTGTAGTTTTGAAATCAACTATAAAGGATTGCTTTTGCTTTCTTTTGTGTGCAGTCGGGACAGTCGCTTTTTATTCTGAAATGGAAACCGTGCCCTTTAGTGCCATTGTTGACTAGGTGAATGGGCACATGCCGCTATTGTTCTTCCAATCTAGCCTTAGGGAATAGTTCTCTCACAAAACCTCAGGATTATCATCAAGAAAAAAACTCTTGTCAGTCTGAAGCAAACCTCAACCACATGCCCCCTTTCACATTTAAACACATTCAAGTGGGGGTGGGGTAGGGGAGAGAACCTTCTTTGCTAGCAGGTTAACTATTCCTTGGTTTTCAGTGGTGCAGTTCAGCCACTATCACTGCAGACTGCAAACCATTGGCGAAATGGATATGTGTTCAGTCTGCAAAATTAACATGTTCTCTGTTTAATTTTGAAAAGCTGGGTTTCACTGCTTGAATGATTCTGTGGCCAGGCTGCAAATGCAGCATGTGTTCGAGGTGGTCCTAATTCTATCTTTCCCAGCTCTAGTTATTTTGACCTTGAAACTTCATTATCTATGTGCTAAAAAGAAGATAATTGGCATACCTGATACTAGACACTTGGAGGAGCTGGGGGTATACATCTGTTCAACGTGCTCACGAATAAGGAGTGTCATGAATTAGACCCTGAAGACAGTGGCAGGTTTATCCAGTAACTTACATCCACACAAGTCTTAATATGGGAATAGGGTCTAAAATAAACAAGCCTAACATTTCAATGGGAAATACCGTATTTTTCGCTCTATAACACGCACCCGACCATAACACGCACGTAGTTTTTAGAGGAGGAAAATCCGTAGGCATGCCAACCGTAGGCATTCCCTCCATAACACGCACAGACATTTCCCCTTACTTTCTAGGAGGAAAAAAGTGAGTGTTATGGTGCAAAAAATACGGTAATTCTAACCATGATGAAACTAGTAAATCCAGGCACATGTACACGCCCCCCCCCCCCGCAATGCACTCAAGAAGGACCAAGCACATAAGAAAGGCAATATTAAATGCAACTCAATTCCCCACCCCAGAAAAGAGTGGCTAACATTCTTATGAGGTTTGCTTTGTTGTTCTAGGTGACCTTCAAACTGGTTGGTTGGATTTCCTCTTGTTTGGTAGTCTAATAGCTGCAGTGGATCCTGTTGCCGTGTTGGCTGTATTTGAAGAAGTCCATGTCAATGAAGTCCTCTTCATCATTGTCTTTGGAGAGTCATTGCTTAATGATGCCGTAACTGTGGTAAGATCTTTTTCTGAAGTCCAAAGTAAAAGTAAATTCCTCAGATTTAATTCTGAACTATTGGCCAATGGACTGCGGATAAATCAGGAATGCATTGAATGACTCAGGACACAGATATATCGGTATGAAGTAGCAGTCTATAAATTTACTTAGGTAAATATCACTGCTGTTTTACTACATAGAGAAAAAAAGGTTAGCTGTTTTCATAAGCAGACACTCAAATTCTTTGCAAATAGGCTTTCTTCCATCACAATTTAATCACAAATGTAAAATAGAAGTCTATAGATGTTGCATTTGGTAGTGTACTGTTAAAGAAATGGTGAAATAAGATACAAAAAAGATAAAAACAATAAATAGTAGATATGTAAAAGCAAAATAGAAAACAAAGAAAGATATTGTGTACTTTACAAAAAATCAGGAAATTGTTATTGGTTGACAATAAAATGCTTTCTTTGATTCCTTTATGAAATGATCAATTTATCTTCCTCTTAGGTGCTATACAATGTGTTTGAATCATTTGTTAAAATAGGAACTGACAATGTGGTTGCTACCGACTGGGTCTATGGAGTGGGTAAGTCATCTTTTAAAACTTATTACATCATTAGTAGGAATCTTGTGAAAATGATGCCCTGTTGCCTCAAACACTCTTCACTTTTCCTTTCATTTGCTATTCTTGAACCTCAGTGGCACAATTAAAGGAGAGCAAAGTTGCAGCTATGGGATAGTTAAGAAGTATAAAGATTTCCCCCACCCCAAAGCAGAACCCATATCACCGTGTTTGCTTAATTTGTTTGGTATTGGTATATAAAAAAGCTTGCTTAGTTTCAAGTGACCTGTGATCTTTTGCATGCAAATGTATAGGTCCCGCTTCTCTGCCACAAAGCAGTATTGGGAGAGAAATGTTGGAAGCTGGGGGGTGTGTGTGTGAATAGAGGGGTGGTTAACCTTTCCCTGCCATTCTCATTCCTCTGTGATTCCCATCCACCTAGGGTCTTGGCCCTAAATTATGTCGGGTTTATACCCCGTGACGGATGAGAAGCATCTGAGCAGGGAGAGTGGCAGATGCAATGGAAGGTTTTAGCACCCCCCCCAGCCCCCCCTAGGTGCTGACGTGCAGCAGGCAGGGGATCTCTGGGCATCTGCATACAGAACCGAGTGGTAATGCATGTAATTCCAGTGTTAGACAACTGAACATGTTTCCATCCTGCCTTTAATATTAAAATCAAATCAAACAACAGTTAGCTTTTGTGCATAATGCATTACAATGAATAAGAGTTCTGTAGAAAAGTACCCTGCATTTCCCCTACAATTTAAATTAAATTTTAATTTTTTGTTGTATTTATATAACACCTTTCTTCTAAGGAGCTCAAGGTGGCATACATTCACGTGTTCCTGTGTTAGCAGGTACTCTTGAATGGTACACCTTGTGCAGTTTATTGGAATGTTAACAGCCCTATTATGTTTATGTCCTTTTAAGGGCTGTCATAAAAAAAGATAAGTGAGAAGTTTGCTTGCCATTGCCAATGGGTAAAAGGCAACGATGCAGAAGGGATGGTTCATACAGAGGCCAGCTTTGCATGAGCAGGGTTTTGAGCTGGGTTATTCTATCTGTGGTTCTCTGTCTCTCAGTCCCTCTTTCTCCATGCCTTTCTTCCCTTTTAAAATCCAGCATCCATTTTTTCTCCCTCCTCCTCTTAAAAAAAAGTAAAGAAAAAGGAACTACCATCTTGTCTATGTATTATTTGTGTGCGTGTGTGCTTCTACTGATTTCCAGTTTGTTTCCAGGTACAATTCAAAGTGTAGTTTTTGACACCCCGCCCCCAAGCCTAAAGATCTGGGGCAAAGATATCTGAAAGGCTGCATTTACGCATATGAATTTGCCTTTCTTAGAGACATGACTGAAGACTCTGCTCAAGCAATCTCGCCACCCCAACATAATTGGAGGCTGTGAGGTTCCTTTCTCTGTGTGTGGCACCACACCTTTGAAGTTGCCTCCTGAGAGGGGAGATTTTTTATTAATATTAAGATACCAGATGAAAAACATCTTTAGTTTCACAAGCTTTAAGTTAAGCTTTATATATATTTCACATCAAGGCTTTAAGTTTTTAAGTCACCTAGCATGGATGATGGGAATTTTAGTCCAGAAACAGCTGGAGACCCAAGTTTTGGAAACCATACTTTTTAGGGTCTTGAACGGCTGTTCTTAGTATCCGCAGCAGAATAGCTAATGCATGACTTGTTGTTTAACATTTATGTTCTGTTTTAAAGGCTGTTGTAAGATACTAGGAATTTTTAGTGGGGGTGGGGAACAGGAAACAAACTTTTAAAGCAAACTAATTAGCAAAACTATACCATTCTTCCTTTGGATAGCTTAGAGGAGTATACAGAGGGTTCTTGGTCGCCTCCCTTTAAAGTGGATTACAGGATTTGCTCAAGCAAGGAAGCCTTTGCCAACCTGGAAATCTCCAGGTGTCCTGGATTACAACTCCCATGAGCCTCAGGCAACATGGCTGTGATGGCCATTCATGGATGCCACTCTGAGCTCCATGGAGCAAGGGCATGATGTGTCCTGCCCTCAGCAGAAACTCACAAAGCAACAAGCACCTCAGTCAGCTCCACGTGCACAACTGGCTCAAACCAAAAATTAGTGGTTGACTGAGGTCTTCTTACACCAGGCTTCCTCATCCTTGGCCCTCCAGATGTTTTGAAACTACAATTCCCAGCATCCCTGACCACTGGTCCTGCTAGCTGGGGATCATGGGAGTTGTAGGCCAAGAACATCTGGAGGGCTGAAGGTTGAGGAAGCCAATCTTACACCTTATCCCTCCCTAAGATCCACCTTTCCTGGCTGTGGAGTGTGGCTTCTTAAAGGGCCAAGCACCTATTTCGCTTCTGTCTGTGATGCCTTCCCTGGAATGCTCTCTGCACTGCTGGTCAGGCACTGCAGAGCAGGAGGTGCTTCAGGTAAACCAGGCTATGGGGAAGGCACCTGAGAGCATTCGGTCTTCAGATCTGCAAAGGTACAGCAGTTAGGCTCAGGTTCAATTCTTCAGCCCTGGTTTCCATGGCTCCCACTCCTTGTCTCTCTGAGTCTTGGCTATTGCTTGACACAGGAATGTATGTAATGGGGAAAGTGTCTCACCAGCAGAACACCTTTTTGGGTGTTCAGGCCCCTCAATGCAGGTGAATTATTATGATACCTGGGTATCTGTGTAACAGATCTTAGCTCCATCTCCCCAACTTTCCTAGCCACCAGATAGCAAGACTAAAAAGTCAATAAACCAAAGTGTGTATTGTTTTAAAAAATTAAGAGTTTTATAAAAAATCAATGTGATTTTTGTCTGATCTTGTTCTTGCAGTGTCTTTCTTTGTGGTGAGCATTGGAGGTACTTTAGTCGGTGTTGTCTTTGCATTCCTGCTCTCGCTTATCACTCGTTTCACAAAGCACGTCAGAATAATTGAGCCCGGATTCGTGTTTGTTGTCTCCTACTTGTCTTACTTGACAGCTGAGATGCTGTCACTTTCTGCCATCCTTGCGTAAGTTTCAGTTACCGGTAATTAACTGATTTTTCTTTCTAATACTGCTGGAGAAAGGGGTCATTTTAAAGCGACTGTAATCCCCAGCTGAGTTTTCTATCTGTATTAAAAAGACAAAACCAAAGAAACTCGTGGAAACTTGGGGAGAATGTCCCAAAACTATTAGGCTTGGAAGCCATTTGAAGACCCTTGGGGAATTCTATAGTTTGTTGTGCTGCAGATTACAATAATCAAAATGATTAAAAATAGCTAAACTACCAGCTAAACCTTCATATAACAGTGACACTAGCATAATGGGGATCTTACTGTTCCTTTAAGATACACATAGAGAGAGTCGGGGCCCTTGCAATGTGGAGTGTGTCAGGGCTGGACTATGAGCAGCACTCTTGGGTGAGCCAGGAAGCAGAAGCCATGGGACAAGGCAGGAGTCAGGCTCTTAGGGCCAACCAGGAGGCCAAGTTGAGGAGCAAGCTGGAAGTTTGGACCGGAGGACATACCAGGAGGCAAGGGTCACCAATCATCTTCCATGGTTCAGTTCCCTCTTTTTTGGGGAGGTGGGACGTTTATTAGAATTTTAAAAGAGAGATAAAATATTTTTCTCAAATATCGTTTTTATCCAAACTGAAACATTAATTTTGATAAAAACACAGATCCAGAGGAAAAGAAGAGAGAGAGAGAAATAAAGGATTAAAAGAGAAAAAATATAGTTCAGAAACTAATGAACTTATTCTTCATATGTCAGCTATATTTAAACATTATTCAACTCATCCACTCAAATGTAACACCCAGCAAGACTCCTTTCTATAAACCAACATTATCTTCAGTTCAGAGGTTAACAGCAAAGAGCAGCCAAACACAGATCCAATAACGCCTGACAGTTGTGGCAGTTAAACTTTTTTATTTCCATTGCCTGCCAAAGGATTTGGCTCAGGTAGGTCAGTATATCAGAGGGAAACAAAACATTTAGGCGGAGGTCTGCTTTTAGATTTCAGAATAGAACAGTTTAGTAGATATGACAATGCAGAACAAGTTGCTGCAAAGATAAGTGATCAAGATGTGTGTTGAATTTCTTTCAGTATAACTTTCTGTGGCATCTGCTGTCAGAAATATGTCAAGGCAAATATTTCAGAGCAGTCTTCTACCACTGTGAAATACACCATGAAGATGTTGGCGAGTGGCGCAGAGACTATTATTTTCATGTTCCTGGGAATTTCAGCTGTTGATCCTAACATCTGGACTTGGAACACAGCCTTCATACTCTTGACGCTGGTCTTCATCTCTGTCTACAGAGTAATTGGTAAGGAAACACGTCTTCCTACTAAGAGTGGTAATTAATTTCAGCTTTTGGTCTCCTGCATGTTATATCACCGGCTGGGTGGAAAAATAAATTAGAACATTTTGCAGGTTTTTATCAGGGACCTTGTTTTCATTGCTGCTTAAATTCTGCAACAAACTCTCTACAGATATGACCGTTCCAGATTTTTATGGGACTGAGCAATAGAACTGTATTGTTCTCCTCCTACAGTGAGCATCCTCCCAGCAAGAGCAGGCTGCTTGCATCTCTCCCACATTCTTAATCTCCTCTTCCTGTTGGCATTTTGATCACTAAGAGAGCTGCCAGGAAGGTGGAATCTATACTATGTCTGCTCTAGGACTTGGCTTGGTGTGCCTTTTAAACATCTCTGGGCTCCAGGAAACTGTCCAGCCTTGTTGCTTGTGGTATTGGTTGGCGCTGGCCATCTCCTCAGCTTAGAAGTGGTCCTTCCCATTTTCCAGATGCTTCAGAAGCACCCATTCATCTCTTCCCTTGTGGAAGCACTTAAAGCAAGATGGTCCATCAAGGCTTTTTTGGGCAGCTGTAGGCAACAATTGACCCCCTGTCTTCCCAAAGCCAGATAAGGAGGCACTGACAAGGTCCTAGGGTCCTGCAGCCTCTTTCCCAAAGTGCTTTCTCAGCTTTGGGAAGAAAGGAGGGGTTCTAGGACCCTGCCAGAGCCTTCACGCCTTCTTCCCAATGTCTGGTGCTTTGCTTAACCGGCTTTGAGAAGGCAGCACAAGTGCTGGGGTGTGCATGTGTACCAGATTTTGACCATGTTCCCTGCCCGCCCCTGCCTCCTCCCCCCCCCCCGCATGACAAGGCAATGTGCAGCCCCTGAGTTCCATTCCAAAGTATCCTTGCAGCCCACTTGGTATGAAAAGTTGGACCGCCCTGACATAGAGGATCAGACTGATAGTGAAGAAACACTGCCTTCAGTTGGGCTGATGTGAGTAACCCCTGATAGCTTATCAGAAGCAGATTTAAGATCATCTTCATCTGCAGACCCAATATACGACTTTAATCTATTAAAGTTGGCTAAATAGATGAGATCTGATATCTGAAATTTCCAATCATCTTTTTACTAGCGTGCTGCTTAATTTTCAGCAAAAATCAGAACTGCAGTTAGCACCTGAAAGTTTACCTATGGAAAACATAAAACCCATACGATTGTGAACCCTTTTCTCCACTCCACACTAAATGTGTGGAAAGCAACATTTAAAAAACTGGCTCCCCCCACTATCTCCCCTTATCCCTCTTTGCTTTCACCCATCTTTTAAAGAAGCAGGGCAATCCTTAGATTGGAATGGTTGGGAACAGGTGGGCCTTTATAGATTAAAATATTTTTATGCAGACAGTATCCCTCTACAAAAATAACAATTCATAGCTGCCATACCAAACCTTAAATAGTAATGGTACCACTTCAACCGGCTGTGAAGATTCCTGTTAAACCCAGACATTTCCACACAAGCAAACAGGAAACTAACAGCAATGGAGCACATCTTTGTTAATTTCTCTCCACTCTCTAAGGGCATAGCTTTCTCAATTTATAAGGCTCTAATAACACTAGAATATGGCAATCTGTTGTTCACAAAAATGCCATGGGAAATGGACCTAGATGTGCAAATACCAGTGGTCTAGTTTCTGCAAAAATAAGGGAAGCCTCATTAAAACTTCTGCATAGAAGTTTTCTGCATAGAACTTCTGCATTATACACTGGTGAGACTGTCCCGAATATGTAAGGAAGTCAATCCCAATTGTTGGAGGGGATGCATAGTCAAGGGTACATATTTCCATATGTGGTGGTGTTGAGACATCATCAAACCCTTCAAAGAAATAAGCTGAATATACAAGAAAACCATGGAAGTGTCCCCTGCACTAGCACTACTTGGGCTTAGGATCCTGTCTGCTCCTGATTATCCTAAAGATGACCTCTTAGCCTTTCTATTGTCAGCTGCCCATATGGAGACAGCCAGATGTTGGAAAACCGGTGTTGGTCTAACAAGAGTACAGTCAATAGCACTGGCCAAGAAACTAACATGCCAAGTGAGAGCAGCAAAGGGCAAACACAATCCATATTCCTTTTATAAAGGTAAAGGTAAAGGTACCCCTGCCCATACGGGCCAGTCTTTTTTTTTTTTTATAATCATATTTATTAAAATTTCCAATAATAACAGAATAGAAAAGATAGAAAAGATAAAGAAAAGAAAGAAAAAGAAAGACCAATTTTAAACCCTTATTTTCATAACCTTCTTTCTGGGACTCCCTCCTTCCCCTCCCGACTGTATTCCCCTTTCCCTACGTTGGTTCCACAAGTTCTCATTCCCAATTTAAACCTAATATGTTGTGCCTAATAGCCAATTTAAATTACAATCTTAACATCACTCCTCATCTTTAACAAAATAGAACAAAGATTTCCCCCCCAAAATCTACCCCGTTTCCTTCCACGAATTCCCCCTTTTTTTTCCAAAACATGTTAAATCAAAATACCAAAGTTATATAGAAAGATAAAAGATAGAAGATAGAAGAAGATTCCAAAAGTTGGTTACATAGCCTTTGGATTCTAGAGTTCCCCCTCCCTTCCCCGGTTTGGATTCCCCATGTCCATCAGTCTGTATGTTGTCAGCCTGGAGGTCTCAAGTCCACAGCCAAATTTTTCTCAATCCATCTTGCCAGTCTTGACAGACTCTAGGGTTGTGCGCCCATCTCACTCAAGAGGCCGAGGGCCAGCGCTGTCCGGAGACACTTCCGGGTCACGTGGCCAGCGTGACAAAGCTGCATCTGGCGAGCCAGCGCAGCACACGGAAACGCCGTTTACCTTCCCGCCAGTAAGCGGTCCCTATTTATCTACTTGCACCCGGGGGTGCTTTCGAACTGCTAGGTTGGCAGGCGCTGGGACCGAGCAACGGGAGCGCACCCCGCCGCGGGGATTCGAACCGCCGACCTTTCGATCGGCAAGCCCTAGGCACTGAGGCTTTAACTCGCAGCGCCACCCGCGTCCCTTTTATTCCTTTTATAACATATGGGAAATGTTTATTGAATACATAAATTGTTCAGACTGTGGCAAGAATCCACTCAGCACTCATGGGAAAATGTGACGTGATCTCTGAGTAATCCAATGAAACTTCAACACATGGCATGACAGAAGTCTGTAATTCTGTCAGGACAAGTTGTTTATTGTTGTAACAATTGTTTTCTCAAAATTTATCTTCTTTACCAGGGAAATAAATAAAACCACTATTAAAAAAACCAAGCCCTATGGAAAGCAGTTAAAACCTTTTCAAGCAATTGTTTTGTTTCAAACAAATCCAGCAAGAGAGTTCCGTGTGTGCAACTGCTGTGGATGCTCATTGCAGTGCTCACCATGGAACATAATGGGCTGTCCAGTGCATGTAACAAAACATGAGGAAAGCTGGGTCACGGCAGTGTCTGTTGCATTCATTACAGTGGTGCCTCGCAAGACGAAATTAATTTGTTCCGCGAGTTTTTTCGTCTAGCGAATTTTTCGTCTTGCGAAGCACGGTGTCAGAAAAGTTTTGGAAAAGATTCAAAAATCACCAAAAACCTCAAAAAAGGCTACCTCGAAGTCAAGTCGCAACTGTATTAACGGTGTTAAGAAAAAGGAAACAAACTTGCAAGACGTTTTCGTCTTGCGAAGCAAGCCCATAGGGAAATTCGTCTTGCGAAGCAGCTCAAAAACCGCAAAACCCTTTCGTCTAGCGAGTTTTTCGTCTTGCGAGGCATTCGTCTTGCAGGGCACCACTGTATTTGCCAGATTGTTACTGCCATAGGCAAAATTGCCATTTCTTGGAAGGAAATGTATTTTGGCAGCAGCTTTGTGTTGTGATGCTTCAATGGTCATGCCATTCTTAATTCCTAAAAGAATATTGTTATGCAGGCTTTTGCTACTCTGAAACATTTGCTTTAACAGGTGTAATTCTGCAGACTTGGGTTCTAAACCACTACCGAATGGTCCAGCTGGGAATAATAGATCAAGTGGTCATGTCGTACGGTGGACTCCGTGGTGCTGTTGCCTTTGCTTTGGTAGTAACCCTGAACAGTAAAGATGTCGCAGAAAGAAACCTGTTTGTCAGCACAACAATCATTGTTGTGTTTTTTACTGTCATATTCCAGGTAATTTCAATCGTTCAGCCTTTCTGTTGCTTTTATGGGTGAAGTGCTGGGTTAGGCGTTCTTCTTGAACCCAATATGGGAAGGATGTTTTGGCTCACGCATCCTTGTCATGTCCTCTTCCTTTCGGGTAAAAACAGTGTCTGACCATCTGAATGCAGCGTACAGTGGTAAGCTGTTTGTCGTGGAATGAAATGAAATCTAGGCAAGACGGTGCATGCAGCGGGTTAGCAGGTGGAGTGGGGAGAGACTGCTAGGAAGTAAAGTCTGTGAGGGCTCAATGAAGTATCAAAAGCGGATCTCAAATGTTGGCTTTATATTATGTCAGTGAGCGGGGAGTATAAAAAACTGTGTGCTCTGTACTAAAAACTTAAAACCTCTTGTGTCAGACCCCCATGTATTAGTAGATCTTGAGTTAATATTTCACGAGAGAGACTACAGAAATGTTATTTGCTATTTGTAAATCCTTATCACTTTCTTTAAATGAGGGGAATTTAGAGGAAGGGATGCCATTTCTGCGTACAAGGCACACACAATATAAGTTTATGAAATTTGTTATTTAGTTTGCATATACATTGATCATTAAAGTGTTTGTGTTTTAGGCCAGTGTGGCCTTCATTTAAAGACATGCGTTCCAATAGATGCAGGACAAGACTGTGACAGGACATGGACTAGTGATTAACAGGCAGCTACAAGTAGTTTAGAAGCTGGTGGAGTGTGGTGGGAGACACTGCCCAAAGTTCTCTAAGGGTTACAGGTTACAGGGTTGTTGCTTTATTTCACCTGAACAGCATAACTCAGTGGTTGTATCTGATGCTCCTCTACTCATGACTGAGATGTGGAAATTGCATGAGGGATGTGGTGACATATGCCATGCCAGTCGGGAAGGAACCCACTCAGGTCTCACATCCCAAACATTTTCAGAGTGGCATAGAACATGTCCATTTAGAAGGACTAGGGGAGCCACCCCTAGCCCAAGCAGCTTATTTCAGAATAAAGGACCTAACACGTGAGCAGAGATGCTTGCACATTATGTGATTACACAAGCGCACCCTCTTGACTTATTACAACTCACCCACTCTCAGATCTCAGTCTGCTCATCTGTGGTATGTGGTGAAAACTTTTGGTGATATTTCTTTCATCTTTGATATTTTTAGTGTCTATAATACATGCACAGTCTTCTACTGTATTGTTGCTTTTAATTAAGGTGAGAGTAATTTGTCAGTTTTCCCTCCGCAGGGTTTGACAATCAAGCCTTTGGTGCAGTGGTTGAAAGTGAAAAAAAGTGAGCAGCGAGAGCCCAAGTTGAACGAGAAGCTCCATGGCAGGGTAAGCAGGTCTCATACTCAGAACAAATAGAGGTCAGTGAGGTCAAAAGACCCTGCCACTTCCTAATAATACCTCAGTAATAATACCACCCTGGTAAATTCTAGCCCTTGCTTGTTTGGGTAGCAAACAGTGAGAAGGCCTGTGCTCCCAGTTCTCTCTCACTGTAGCCATGATCAGTAGGAGTTGGTGGCATCTGCGCACTGGCATTGGGATAGCCTGCAGGGGGCGGGACAGCCAACTCTTCTGTTGTTGTTGTTGACATCTATCTTGAGAGACAATGAAGTGCGCCCGCTAGAGATCACAGCGCCTGCTGTGGCTGTAGAGACCGGGAGCTCATAACTGTTGCCTCCCATGTTGTTTCTGCTGTGTTAGTAGCACCAAAGTGATCTCCCCAGGGCACAAGCCTGGGCAGTGGGTATGGAGGTCTTGGGCTGCCCAGACAACAAGACCCTTCCCCTCGGCCTCACTGATGTGGTCCTAAGGAAAGCAGAGCAATACGTTTGGCACCAGCTTGGCTGCAGAAGCCACCAGAAGGAGGCACCTTTCTACCGCCTTAGGGACTCCACTCTGGATTTGTGTCAGGTGTATTCCTTAGCTTTTCCTTCTCCCAAAGATGTCCCACAAGGCAGTGGGTAAACTCTTCCAATGCTACAATTCTGTGATTTGAGGTATCTTCATATACAGATGAAGCCCATTTTAGCTACATAAGTGGGACTTGTAATAATATGTTGCAGTGCAGGGTGTTCCTGTTCAGACTTTCAGGCAGCCATGGATACTCCCTTCTGCCCGCCTCCTGCAAACAATCACTCAGCATTCGTTTGTTTCATCCACATCTGTTTTTGGACTTCTGTAAACCATACTGATTGTGCACCGATTGTGCCATTTTGCCATTTTGATTACATAAGGATAGGCCAGGAGGCAAACTCAGCCTTATGATGTTTTGGGACTACAACTCCCATCATCCCTAGCTAACAGGACCAGTGGTCAGGGATGATGGGAGTTGTAGTCCCAAAACATCAGAAGGCTGAGTTTGCCTATGCATGGGATAGATACCCAGAAAATGAGATCACTGTTAGTATAGAAGTGAGAGGGCCTTTTCAATTGTGGCTCCTCATCTGTGGAATGTCTGCCAGATGCCATCATTGGCATCTTTTTGGCACCAGGTAAGGATTTACCTTCCCCTCGGCCCACAGGCTTTTGATAGACTAAATTTATGATGTTTGTGTTTTCTGTGCTGCCGAAGCTTCCTGTGGTTGTTATGGTGGTGGGATGTGTGTGTTTGTGTGTACGCACGTGTACATACATGTATCTTCCTATATACATTAAAATGTAAAGCTGTCATTGTACAGGCCCCCATTGGAGAATTTGTAGTACCTCATCACATTCCTGGCTTTGCATAAAGTGGGAAGGGAGCAAAAGCGAAGGCAAGTTTTTAAATGGTGCATTTAAACAACAGAAGAAGTTTGAAATAAGGAAACAGAGGGAAAACTTGTGATTTTAAACAGTGGCAGAGGTGTGAATTGCACCTGGCAAGCTGAGCCCTCCCTGCACTGATTGCTTTGAAGCAGCCAATTGGCACCTTCCCCCAAGGTCTTTGAGGTTGGCCACTTTGGCTCCTGCTGCAAATAACTTGCATGTTGGGGAGGCAGGGCTGCTGGACCCTTCAGGGTGAGATACAGGAGGGCCTGGCTTTGCTGAGAGTAGCCTGACACAGCCTATAGGGGGCAGTGCTCAAGTCCTGTGAGCAGCAATCCTACTGACTGCATGTGGAAGGAGCAGAGTCAGGGTCCCAGGCTCTGGGACAGAGGTCAGAATCTGGTCTTTTGCACTACTGATACCAAGAGTGACTCTCACAGTGGTACTTTATCTTTGGTGTGTATATGTTGACCAAACCCAGCCTCTGTCTGCATCTAAACGGTTATATGTTAGTCTGCAATTACCCAACCACCTTTTGTGGTCTTTGTTTTCACAGGCCTTTGACCACATTCTTTCAGCTATTGAAGATATATCTGGTCAAATAGGACATAATTACCTGAGAGACAAGTAAGTGGAGTCAGGCACCTTTGTCTTGCGAGAATGGAACAGTTTGACGAATGGAAAAGGTGGACTAAAATAGCATGATAGGATAGCCTGACATCTGGTCATCTGCTAATCAAACTAATATTTGGCGATACAGGTCAATGCTGAGAAACGGCACATGGGAAAACCCTTTCTCGTAAGCTTTGGAATTTCTGGAATTCTTCCCACTCTTTTGACTGTGCCAGTTTAAAACAATTCCAAAATTTCCATATCTTAATCCCCTTCTTATGGGTGCCAAATACTTATTTTCTTAGTTTGCATTTTACTCTCCATGGAAAGGCAAACTTGTGAGGCCATTAAAACCATGATTTGATTTGATTTGTACCCTGCCCATCTGACTGGGTTGACCTAGCCCCTCTGGGCTTAACTCGACAAGCTTCTCTTAACATCGTATGCCTTGGCAAAATAACTTGGAAGGTCTCCCTTGCTGTTTACCTTGAACACTTCTTCCATAGCCTTCAGGTATCATAGTGGGGTCCAAGAGGGAGGGACATGCCTCCCCAGTTCAGGGTGACAGGCGGGCCCAACTGCTTACTGTTGCGGCCCCTGGTCTGGCTGGGCGGTTGAGTGTATCTGTCCGAAACAGCAGACAGCACGACTGCCCCCCCTTCATTGGAAGGAAGGGGATGTGGGACATTGGGGGCAGCATGAAAGAACATGCAGGTTGCAGTGAAAAGCTGAACATCAGGTGGGCTGGTGTTGGGAACCAGTGCTGCAGGGACCTGCTACAGGTTGCACTGGGAGGGCGGGACAGATAAGGGCAGGAACTGGTGCAGAAAGTGTTCCTTGTTTGTTTTATTAGTGTTGGCCCTAAAAGGGAATGGCAGTATTTGGGGCTGCATTTCAGGTAGTAAAAAGTCTTAGATCTTCTGAGGTAAGATGTTAGCTCCCTGCTTCAGAAAAGGGGTACAGAGGGGAACACTAGCCTTACCTCCCAACATTGATTCACCTATTTATTTATTTTTCAAAAAAGTGAAATTTTCCCATTGGTGATTTGGCTACAGGATTCTCTGACCTGACTGTACATTGTGTGCCCCAAAGAAAAATGCCCCATTTCCTCTAAATTACCCATTTTGAGCTCAATCACAAAAAAAGAATTGGATGTCTTCAAGTTATATTGTTATTGTCTCCACACCATGGGGTGGGGTGCCAACCTTGATTACCTAATGCTAAATGTGCCCCATTTAATTAATAGCTGCTACATATGCTGTGTTTGAATCGTCAGGTGGACTAATTTCGACAGGCAAGTCCTCAGCAAAGTACTGATGAGAAGGTCTGCTCAGAAAAGTAGAGACCGAATTGTTAAAGTTTTCCGTGAGCTCAACTTGAAGGATGCCATTAGCTACGTGGCTGAGGTAATTCTAAATATATTTCATGATGAAACATGTCTATTTTAGGTTTGTTTCTGCCTTTTGGTGATATATTAGCACTTTAGCATACATAATCATTTTTCATCCCATTCATTTCAAGGATAATTATAAGTCTGTTGAACTCTCTTCTGTTGTAATGAATGGGATCTAAGGTTATATCTGTGATCTTGGAGATAATACAGAGATCATAGTAAATCTGTTTCCTTGGCACAAGCAACATAAGAGTCAACAGGTTTAGGAACAAAAGATTACGGTTCACAGCACTATGTGATGATTTTTGGTCAGATGTGTATTGTTTGGTTCTCCAAACTTTAACTCTTTGTATGGCTGGATCTTAAAGTCCATCACTTCTGAAGAATCCACTTCAGTACCTGCCTTGATACTTGGAGCAGAGGTGGTCTTATTTCAGGTTTGTGGAGTATACTTTATTTTTACCAGCCAGTGGCAGATGCACACAAAGTTGTGTCTCCAGGAGCCAGTAACCTACCTCAACCTATGAGCCATACTCTAAAATATCATGCATTGCTTAAATACAAAACTACATCTGAATTGCTACAGCTAAGAGATTATAATACAATATTCTAAAACTAGCCTCTAAAACACTCAGATTTTACAGATGAAGAACCCTGGGGCTGTGAGATAATCCATTATTGCATTAGTCAGATACAGTGGTGCCTCGCAAGACGAAATTAATCCGTTCCACGAGTCTCTTTGTCTTGCGGTTTTTTCCGTCTTGCGAAGCACGGCTATTAGCGGCTTAGTGGCTATTAACGGCTTAGCGGCTATTAACGGCTTAGCGGCTTTAAGAAAAAGGAAACAAACTCGCAAGAACTCGCAAGACGTTCCGTCTTGCGAAGCAAGCCCATAGGGAAATTCGTCTTGCAGAACGACTCAAAAAACGGAAAACTCTTTCGTCTTGCGCGTTTTTCGTCTTGCGAGGCATTCGTCTTGCGAGGTACCACTGTAGGCAGATAGTATAAGGCCAGCGGTGGCACAGATTGGTTGTTGCTTTTACTTGCTGCCTTTAAACTAAGGGGAGTCAGAACCCTTGCCAATCTATTGTAAACTGATCAGAGATCAAGTAGATCCCAGTCTACATCCTGCAAACCTCCAGTGTACATAATTTACCGGGACTTGTTCTAGTTAGCGAAAACATTTTTCCAGAGGTATGAATATTATTTGTTTTTGCCTTTAGCTCAGAGAAACCATATGAAACTATTTCCATGTTTTCATGATGCTTCTTGTTGCTCCAGTAGCTCAAGAGCCATAGTAAAAAATAAAATTGCTCTCTACTTGAAAGCCCCATAGTCCCATGTGTATGAGTGTGTATGTTGTATTCTTTGTTGAACAGGGAGAGCGAAGAGGTTCTCTGGCATTTATCCGCTCAGCAAGTATTGACAACACGGCCAATGTGGACTTCAGCTTTATTAATCAAATGAATGGAGAGCCCTCTGTTTCCCAGTTGCTGTAAGTAAGGCTGTAAGGTTGCTGCAAGTTTTGCCTCATACTTTATGAATCCAGTTTTATTTCTGCCAATAGCTCAAAAGCTAATGCATCACAAGTCCAGTAGGGAAGGAAATGTGAAAAGGTACCTTTTGGGTACAGTCCAGCCAGAGTTAAGTATTTAAAGTCCCAGTGCTTTTAATGTGACAGATTCCATAAAGCACTTAACTCTCCCAATGAGATTGATGGGATTGGGAAGTGGTTGACTTGGCTTTCCTGCTTCTATTTATTTGATTTGTAGCCCACCCTATTCCATGGGCTCAGAGCAGCTTATAGCAGTCTTTCTGAATGTCAATAGTTAGGTCCCCAGGGGTTTGCAATCTAAAGGAGTTATGCAGCACAATCCTATGTATGTCTACTCCCACTGTGTTTAATGGAACTTACTGCTCAGTATGTTTAGCACCGCAGCATTTTGAGGCATGTCTACTCAGGAACTAGTCCTGTTGTTTTCAAGGGGCTTACTCTCAGGTAAATTGTGGTGTATTAGAATATAGCCTACAGGTGTGGGATTGCTTGTTTGAACCCTCATGCAAGAAATTCCTTCTTGCCCATGTGCTGCTGGTTTTCTATATATGAACAATTTCTGGGATGGGGACCATTCAAACATACCTTAGCTAGACCAACACTCTTCTGCTGTCTTCCAACTTTGTGGTTGCAGTAGGAAACTAGGAGCCTGCCTACACACCCTTAGGACAATTGCTCACGTTCCACATGTATTCCTTTCTGGTGAACAGAAAGTGCCAAGTCCAGGTGTGTGCGCTCAGTGTAACAAGGAGCCGCCACGAGCTCGTCCCTCTCTAGCTTCCTCTGAGAGATGGAAGCTCCCTGCAAAGGCCACTTCTAAACTGACAACAGATTCGTATCAAAGAATTGTTTCGTGTGGATTCAATAATAATAATAAATAATAATAATAATAATAATAATAATAATAATAATAATAATAATAATAATAATATCTTTATTGTCATTGCCCCCTCTCGGGGACAACGAGATTACTTGGCTGCTCCATCCACCCAGGTAGGGCACTCCACACAAAATCAAAACAACTATAAAAACACTAATTAAAACAATACAGTATAATACAGCAAGGAAGATTAGATGACTTTCAAAGTCCAGGCTTCCCATTCAGGGCTGAGATCGCTCTGGAGAAGAAGCTGTTCTTAAGGCGGCTCGTTCTTGTCTTCATCGTCCTGTATCTCCGTCCCGACGGCAGGAGCTCGAAGAGACAGTGACCAGGATGTGATGGATCTTTTACTATGTCCAGTGCCTTCCTATGGCACCTTGTGGCATAAATCTGCTCTAAATTATGTCTGTGTTTTAATGTTTCTAGATTCGCTGGTTTTGTTGTTTGTTGAACAGAAAGCAATAGAGAGATGAGGGAGGGAAGGAGGGAGAATGGAAGAATGAATATATATCTGTCTATTTTGCTTTAGGAGAGAAACTGCCAGTTCTGTGTGTCTTGATATGCAAGCCCTGGAGCTGAGAAGAAAAAGCATCCGAGATGCAGAGGATATGTTCACCCACCACACTCTACAACAGTATCTGTACAAGCCCAGGCAAGAGGTGAGATCTTAAGAACACCCCAGTGCCAGAATAGGAGACTCTAACAATACAGTATTTGGATATTCTGGGAGAAATAGAATAGAAGCAAAATGGACCTTTGTCTCTCATTATGAGTAGCTGTAGCTCACAGCAAGAGCTGTTCTATAATTCTGCAACCAGGAAGTAGCTCTTCTGCCATGAGCAGTGCTATAAACCCCACCAGTTATAGCATTCTATGTACTCTTTTTCAGAACGGTTTGCAGGACAGCATTAGCTGCTATATTTCTTCTGCTCGTGGCTCTTTGGATCCAAACCCGAGAGCCATTTTGGATGATCCAACTCTCCTAAGTCACATTATAAGTGGGAAGATGTGTATTTTGCGTTGGAGGGAGATGTATGTGCCCACCTTTCCCTGGTTTCAGAGGAGACCTGGAAGCTTGGGGAGAGGAGGCAGAAGTCTCTCACACTTCCTCTCTCAACTCCGCTTTGAGATCTCCAAAGCAGCTCTGGGATGGATCTTGCAAAGTGCCCCCACCTGTGTTCTTCTTTGGGATTTATTTTGTACAGTACATACAGATTGGGGGGGGGGATGTCCAACCTTCTGGTCGCTGTTGGATTCCCAGCTCCAATCAGCTTCAACCCAGTGGCAGAAGGGAGGTAAACAGTGCCCGGGTTGGGCGTGTGGGGTGCACCCCCGAAGGGGGCAGGGCACAAAGGGAGCCTGCTGTGGCACCCGTGCAGGGGTGCACTTGTGCGCCCCAGTCCAGGAGAGTGGGTGGCAATGCTCCTCTCGCCGCTAGGCTGGCTGTGAAGAAGCAGGAGCTTCCTTGCTCTTCACAGCTTCTCTCCACCCCCAAGTCAGCCTTCACCCAGGGAAGGGGGAGCCTCGGCTGGGTGCAAGAGGCGGGGGCAGGACACTTGGAGGGTGATCTTCACCCTCCATGCTCTCCCGCCCCTGCCGCCAGCAGGGCATGAGGAGGAGGGGGATCTCAGGCAGACGCCTGGTTCGCCCCCCCATTGTGCGCCCAGGGCTACAGCCCCCATTGCCCCACTGCTTCAGCCAGCATGGCCAATGGTTAGGGATGATCCAACTTGTATGTACTGCACCAATATGTGAATGGCCTCAGATTCCCCATCGCTGCTGTCACACCATGAATACTGGGGGCTTTCCCCTCTCTTTTAGGAATTTGAGTGGTCCTCTTGTTTTGGGGGGGGCAGGGAGAGGTGCTTGGTTGTTTTCCGTAATCCCAACTGTTTCAGACATTCATAGAATTCAGACATTCCTAGAATTCATAGACTCTTGCCCACAGCCTTGAAGCACCAACCTTCTGGTTGTTATTAACAAACACTTTCGGTTTGGTAAAGAGCTTTTGTTTGAACTCTCTCTATAGTTTTATGCCTTAAATCCAGGGTGCAGTGGGGAGGAGCAGCAAGGGGTCAGAAACAGGCATTAAGGGGCAAGGATTTGTATCTGGCTGCTTGTTCTACACACATCCATTTTGGCCTTCTGATCATTCTTGTTGTCTTGCCGACAGCACAAGCATGTGTACAGCCGCCATGAACTATCCACCAACGAAGACGATAAGCAAAACAAAGAGATTTTCCACAGGACCATGAGGAGGCGCCTGGAGTCGTTCAAGAGCACCAAACTAGGCATGAGCCACCCTAAGAAGAACAAAATTCACAAGAGAGACCGAGGCCAAAAAAGAGTAAGAGCAGAGCAGTTGAGATTGCCTCACTAACGCAGGGGGAGGGAATGTGGAGGCCAGGTGCCCATGCCCTCGTAAGGGTGCCAGGTCTCTGGTGGGTCAAACGCTTTATTAATTTAGGATATTTATAACCCACCCCCAGAGTCTCGCACAGCAGCTTGCAAAAGGTTTTCACAGTGAAATCACATTCTATTCTAGCCGTGTGTCTCTGTGGTGCCAGGGTTACCCAGGCATCGTTTCTTGCCCTCATCCTTTGTTTCCCCCCTGGCTTCTGTCAGCCAGGTAGCAGCTCCCATCAAAGTCCTCTGAGGCAGGAGGGTGGGGGACCAAGCAGGTGGGAGGCACTTGCTGGTGCAAGAGGCAGTGAACAAGGAGGAGCTTTATGCAGCCCCTGGGAGTTGTGTGATTGTTTTCAAACATTAAATAGCAGATATGAGGGAAGGCTTTCAGGACTCAGCCACAACATGCAGCGAGAGGCGTTGAAGCCTTTGTGCCATGGTCCTAAGATGCACACACAGAGAGCTTCTTTCTGGCACAGGAGTCAAGCTTCCTTGGCCTGGATGGAGTCCCTTCCATCCCAGGCCAAAGAGCAGTGGGGGGGTTTTGTGTTGGGGTTGCAGCAACGTGGAGAGAGGGGAGGTTTTAAACCCCTCCGGGGCATGGTCCCAGCCCTGTGTGTCTCACACACACACACACCACACCTGCTATTTTTAACTTGGAAAAACAAACGTGCAACATCAAGTGACATATATAATGTCACACATAATTTGGGTCTGAGACTCAGATGGGGCAGGATAGGGGCAGAGCCTGGGAGAGTGTGTTGACTTAAAAAAAGAGAAGTAATCTCAATTCTCTCCTTCTACTTGGCTTGCTTTGGTGTGGTTTGTTTTTGCCTTGATTTTTCCCCCCTTAAAAAAATATTTTGCTGCTGTATATTTTATTGATTTAGTTGTTTTTGTTTGTTTTTGTTTTGGTGTGTTTTAAAGGTGTGTTGTGAGTTTTCTTTTAAATGGAAAGGTGGGGTATAAATACTTTTATAAAATAAACAAACAAACAAATCATTCTGCAGTTCAGGATTATTGCCCTCTTTCCCATTGGCCTTTGCCTCACTTTACTACTCTTTTCAAATCATTTCACTTTATTTGTCCCTGTCATTCTGAAACGATCTTTTGAGTTCTTTGCAAAATTACACATGTGGACTCGTGTATGCTGAATTTTCTGGATGTAAAGCTACAACTTTGCCAAAAGGAAAAACATGTAAGAAAAAGTGTTTTCCAGCTGTGAAGGAGAAGTGGCTGGAAAATGAGCTGGGAGAGCCACTGTGCTAAACTGCTTCTGCACCAGACATGCAGTATGCTGGTACCTCTTCGAAGCTGCCCAGCAATCTTTACGTTATGGGGTGCCACACCACTGCTGCAAGCAATGAAGTTAATAAGTAGATGGGGACTTGATTTTGCCCGAAGTCAGTGGCATGCAAACTGTGCCCCTTCCTCGTGCAAGAGCCTGCAGAGATCATGAAATGCTGGTGATCCAAACAGAATCAGCTTCAACATTGCAACTCCAACCCTTCCTCCAGCTTTTTAGACATTGGTGGGGAATTGGATCTGGCCGGCAGGCCAAATCCTGACCCTTCCCCAGCCCCGCCACTTGGAATCTAAAGTGCGCCTGCAAAAGGGCCGCTTCAAAGGGGCTCACTTTGGGTCAGCTGACTTGCCTGGACAGCAAGCCCCTCTACAGTGGTCCCCCAACATCATAATAGTATCAGGCGAGGGAGAGGGGGGTGGCCCTGGCCATCTGCCAAAGTGGCCCACAGTGGTGGGGGAGGCCAGGACCTGATCTGGTGGTTTGATCCAGTTTCCCGTCTCCTTATCTAAAAAGCTTGCAGGAGGAGGGGGATAGATCCAGTGATGGCAAAAGCCTGCCATCTCTGCCAGTTATGGAGATCTTAGCCTTGCCGTGCTGGAGCCAGTAATCCATGGTGAGGAACTATTAGGACCCTTAGGGTGGCTAATTTCTTGGTGGGTCCTCCCCAAGTCCACAGTGGAACTCAGGAGTTCTGCCGCATAAGGAATCAACTGCTTCTGCAGCAAGGGGCGAGAAACAACAAGTCCAGCATTTCCAATGATAGAGAGCTAGGGTTGGTTTTTTTCACTCACAGTACATTTCCAACCTGATTGGTGTTACTAAGAGATCTGTGGAAAGACCAACAGAAGATATGATCACTGAGTACTGCTGCTGACTTAGTGGAGCTTTAGGCTGATGCATAACTGAGATTTTGAAAGACTTTGTTTGGGAGCTGGAGCCACGTTCTCTGCAGCTACAGGATGTGCGTTGTTTTCATCATCACCATTGACATGAATTTATTAATCACCACCTGTGCAATTGTCTCAAGGTATAATAAAAACTTTATGGCTGCAGCTGCAATTCTCTACACGCTTTCCAAGGGGAAGTAGCACTGAACTCAATAATAACAATAATAAAATTTATTTATATCCCACCCTCCCCAGCCGAAGCCAGGCTCAGGGCAGCTCAGTGTGACAACCTCTCAGTAAACATGCCTGGGACTAGGAATTATGCTTATCTGTAGTAATGCCCCCTTTTGATGGCAATGGTGATTATGGTTTAAGAGTTTCTTGCACTTTCCATTGATGGCCAAGCTGTGTCTCAGAATGGGGATGGTGACCTCTGCTGGCCTGAGCAGCAGTTAACAGAGGAAATGAGCCTTGGCTCTTATTTTTCGGTGAACAGTGACAACCCTCTGCACATGGATTCTCCCACGGTCTCACTTGATAAAAGTTGATAAGATTTCATGAATGCCGACACAATTATATAACTTGCAGTTAAGACTAGTTTTAGGTAGACACTGGCAGGCACCAGCTCTACAACTGATAAAGCAGGCACCCCCAAACTCAACCCTCCGGCTGTTTTGGGACTATAATTCCCATCATCCCTGACCACTGGTGCTGTTAGCTAGGGCTGATGGGAGTTGCAGTCCCAAAACAGCTGGAGGGCCGAGTTTGGGGGTGCCTGCGATAAAGGAATGGCTTTAAAGTGCACACATGGGCAAGGTGACAAGCACTACCAGAAGACAACATGGACCTAGTTTGCATGGCACAGCAGGCCAGTCTATGGCACATGGAGACTGCTTGAAGGTGTGGGCTCCCTGAGAGGAGCTCACAGCCGCATTGCTTCCTCTTCCCTTTTTACTGGAGCTGAGCCAAGGTTTGGCCTGTCGTCAAGCTCTCCTTGCTAACTGCCAGACCTGGCCAACCCAAGTGTCATGCAAGCCAGGTCATTCAGCTCTGTTGCTGGAGAAATGGGCTCCATTTATTGGATCCTGGAGCAATCAATGTAATTTTGATTACACAAATTGAAAATAGGTGAGAGCTCCTTATACAATGGAAACACAGAAAAGGTGTGAAGTAAGGTGCTTCACAAGGCTTTTCTGCTATGTGACTCATGGAAACTCACTTTTTATTTCACCACTGGAATATTTGGGCCCGCTAAAAGATTCCAAACTTATTCTGCTTGTATATGCTATGTACCAAAATGTGTGTGTCATTTTGCTTGTTTATTTCAGAGAAATAGCAATGTCATTCCAAATGGAAATCTCTCTTCAGAAGCCATAAAGGAAAAAGGTAAATGTGCTGTTAAATTGATAATACCTTGACTCCCATTTGCAAATATATTTGGGTTTGTATCTTGTTGTAATTGCCTGAAGTAGAGGTTCTCAAACTATCTTCCCCCAGGGCCCAAAAAGAGATGGCCAAAAATTACTGAGGCCGAAGTATGGCAATGCAGAGTTGGCCCCAGACACAAAATGGGGGCAGTGTTTGGCATCATCAGCTGGCAACCACTGGCATCATTTGATTTTGGAAAATTTTGCCACAACAAGTTTCTTGTGGGAATTCTGTAGTTCAGCTTTCCTCAAACTAAGGATAGAACATTGACTGATTCAGAATTTAGATAGAATTTGCACATCCGGAGGCTCTTAACTAGAGAAGGATTTTCATTTTTTATGTTCCCCTATTTCCCCATATATCTCTTAAAAGTATTTTTATTCATCTCCTATTATCCCCCCCCCCGTCACATCTAACTTGCATCTTATTCCCCATCTCCCCCAGAATTCCCGGTTTCTTTTATCCCTCCTCCTTGCTCCTTTTTATATTCACTTCTTGTGTAAGTTTCCCTTTCTTATCCCCTCCCTCTCTATTTGCAGTTTATCATGATAATTTAAAGCATTAGTTTCCTTCAGTGCCCCTCCCAGTCCCCCCTGACCACGCTTACTCTTATCGCCTTTGCTTATCTATTTGCTGTTTATCATGATAATTTAAAACATTAACCTGCAATCTCTAGTTTCCTTCAGTGCCCCTCCCAGTCCCCCCTGACCACCCTGACTCAGTTTCCTCTTCTCTCCCACTCATCCTTCTGTGGGTGCCCTCCTGCCCACCAACTCCTGCCCAAGGCCAGGTGGTCCTTCTGAGGTGGAGCAGGGGGCCATTGCCTTGGAATGAATCAGGGGAGGCTTCCAGGCTCTGTAGGAGACTGGTGGGGAAGCAGAGAGGATTGGAGTGTGGGCATGTCCATGAAGCAGAGGAACGAGATGGTGTGTCAACAACCCTGGGTGCTTCTCCCTCAAGTCTCTCCATTCCTCTTGCCTCATTCCTTCCTGTTGTCTCTCTGTTCTTACATTCAGCCAGCCCCTCTGTTCATCCACTGCCTATCTCCCCTTTTTCTTTCTTTCCCTCCTGAATACTGCTTTGTTCTGTAACCTCCTCTTGCCCCCATGTATGCCTTTGGCTTACTTCTCTCAGACACGCTATGAGCTGCAAACCATAACATAAGCTTGCCATATTTCAAAAAGTAAAAACCAGGAAACCACCAAAATTGCTGAACTTTTTTTAGACAACCCCCCCCAAATGTGGTTTTGACTTGCCTAAGATCCAGGACAAAGCGACACCTTTCAGAAATTCCCTCCAGGCATCAATTCTGACTTTGAAATCCTGGCAACGTCTGGGATTTCCCAGATGTATGGCAGCCCTGCATAACACAGACCTTGGTTGCCGCTCTGTCTGGAGAAAGCTAAACCAGGAGTCCAGATTCAAACAACACACTCAGGGCAGCAGCAGAATGCCCAGAAGAGCCAAGCAGATATTGCCTCTTCCCTGAGAGCACACACAGTTCAGGCTTGCGCTAAGCCATTGGATTAACATTACGTGCAAACCAAGCCAAGGTTAGCAGTTTAAAATAATAATAATAATAATAATAATCATCTATAATGCCCTTCATCTGAGGATCACAGGGTAGTTTACAATATAAAAACACAAAAGTATATAACATAGTAACAAACAAAAACAATATTCCCCCATAGATTGTTTAATTAGCCAAACTTCCAGCAGTGAGTGAGGGGTTTTGTTTTGTTTTTTTTTTTAAAAAGAATGCCTCAGTTTGCATTACTGTATAAGACTGTACTGTAAATTAATATTGTTTTCTTCCAGAAATTGAGTTTTCTGAACCAGAGGAGAATGATTATGACAATCTACAGACGGGGAGAGCAATAGAATTCCTTGCTAATGTCACCAAGCAGAACTTCGCAGATACAAGTGGTAAGGATATGAATGGCGCGATTTCACCTCTGCAATATTATAAAAGCATATCTTGATTTTTATCATGATGCTATCTAACATAATTAACTATAGTTATAACAACAGACTGAGGATTAAGGACACCATAACTGGTGTTAAATTAAGAATTTGCACAGATTCAAAATCTAATTAATTTCCTAAATCTGAAATCCAATTCAAATGCAGTCTGATTGCTTAAAACTCTGTAAAAAAGTCACACACATTAAAGGGTTTAAATTCATCATGAAATTTCAAAATTGTGCAGTACAATTACAATGCAGAACTGCTTTTTTCAGTAATCACTTTCAACTCTGTCCCTGGGATGATGAAATAGTGCTTCAGGCTATAATGGAGAGAGAAATGTTACAGAGTGGTAGCAAAATTTTTGATGTGGGTTTATCATGAAGTTCCGTGTTGTTAAGAGAGGTGGTGAACTCTCCTTCCTTGGAGGTTTTTAAGCACAGGTTGGATGGCCATTGTCATGTATGATCTAGTTGAGATTTCTGCATTGCAGGGGGTTGGAATAGATGGCCCTCAGGGTCCCTTCCATCTCTACAATTCCATGATTCTGTGATCATCTGTTAGTAACCTCCATGAATGGGACTCTGAATGAAAAGTATCCTTGGCATATTGCGATGCAGTAGATATAATATTGTCCTACAGAGGAAAGGGGTGAAGGAAGCTGGGAGCTTTGCTCTTTGCAATAAGGGAGATCTCAGTTCGTTAAGCTACATGAAGATGAACCACCTCTGCAATCAGCCCAGCACAATTCTGTGTTCCTAGCCAATTTCAGGGTGGAGATTGTTGCATGCCAGTGAACTTATTGCCTGTTTACTTAACAACTGAATTTGTCACTCCCTGACTTTTTACAGGCATTGATAATCCAGTATTTTCAGCTGATATCGAACAAAACTCCACCATGAGGTTTTCGCCTTGGCTCTCCGGAGAAGAGATGGTGGTGCCATCCCAACGGGCCAGAGTGCAGATACCTTATTCTCCAAACAACTTCCAGCGGATTGCTCCCATTCGACTCAGCAATAGATCTGTAGATTCCTTTTTGCAAGTAGATGGTCCTGAGGAGCGGTCTCGAAGTTTCCTCCCAGAATCAACACACATGTAAGTACAGTGGTACCTCGGGTTACAGACGCTTCAGGTTACATACACTTCAGGTTACAGACTCCGCTAACCCAGAAATATTACTTCGGGTTAAGAACTTTGCTTCAGGATGAGAACAGAAATCATGCAGTGGTGATGTGGCGGCTAAAGTGGTGCTTCAGGTTAAGAACAGTTTCAGGTTAAGAACAGACCTCCAGAACGAATTAAGTTCTTAACCCAAGGTACCACTGTAATATTTTAGGCATGTCTGCAGACAACTAGTTTCTCACTTTTGAGGTTTCATCTTTTTCTCTTACTTTTCATTTGAACTTCTCAAGGAGGAATCCTGCACTAGAAAGCCAAATGGCCATCTTTTAGATGTTTGGGGATGCTAATGGTGATCACAAGTGATCACATCCGCTTCAGCGATCACCTTTGATTCAGTAATTCTAGCAATTCCATAGGAACAAAGGAAATCCAAACTCTTCTTTACATTCTCTGCCTCCTTTTGATCTTTCTGTCATCTCTAGCATTAACTTTATATTCTGTTTTGAAGCAAAAGAAGTGCAGGTTTTGAATGTAGATTTGCATATGGTTATGCTTCTCTATTTTCTTAAATATATGCCAGTCACACAACAGTAGAGTAGGCTTTTCTCGCAAATGCAAGGGACAGCTCTACTCCACACAGCAGAGCAGGCCCACTGGTGAGGCAACAATCTCTCTCTGTGTGTGTTCTCTCTTCCTTCTGAAGTGCTGTTTTTGTTGAGTTGTTGGGGCTGATAATAAGTTTGGGGGCTGATAAGCTGTGTGTGCATGGGGGGGGCTGACAGAGGCATATCTGGGGAGTTCTTAGCATGTAGGACAACACAGAGGATGTTCCCCCAAAGTCTGGGTTTTCTACAAGTCCTAATGCTGTACAGTTTGTTGGAAAAGAAACGTTTGTCCCAACTAGATACAGTACCGACATTTTAAATAGTGACCAGAGAGGGAGAGAGAAAGGCATGATCCATTATTTGTGAGCACGTCCACATGCAGAGGGTTCCCCGGGGTGCATGAGAGTCCTGCTTTCCTAATCTGCTCACAGGCACAAGAGACATTTGGGTGAATGGGCCGGATGCATCTCCATTTGGAGCAAGTGGCCCGTGGCGCTAGAGAGTGAGTAACATTTATCAAGGCAAGGGGCGGGGCTGGGTGGATATATTAGAAGTGCACCCAGACCTATCCCACCTGCCCGTTACCTGCACACAGGTGGGGGACAGGGTTCTGTTCAGCACCTAGAAATTCTCATCTCATGAGTGCTGTGGCCTGGTGGACTGGTTTATGCCCCAAATGTATGTATAGAAAGGATTGTGTTTTAAAAGATATATTAGTAGAAACAGTTAAATGTCCACTTGGTGGCGCCACAATGAAAGCCATTCAGAGCTCTCCTTGCAGTATGGACCTTTCATAACTTTACTAGATAGGCCAAGGGACAACAACCTTTTTCAGCCGTCCCTCAGACCATGTGGTGGGCCGGACCATATTTTGAAAATAAAAATAAAATGAATGCATCTCTATGCCCCACAAATAACCTAGAGATGCATTTTAAATAAAAGGACACATTCTACTCATGTAAAAACACGCTGATTCCTGGACTGTCTGTGGGCCGGACTGAGAAGGCGATTGGGCTGCATCCGGCCCCCGGGCCTTAGGTTGCCCACCCCTGGGATAGGCGATCTCCATGTTTATTTCACGTACCTCGAAAGCAGCACTGCTTTAAGGGAACCAAAACTGCTATGTAAGATGACCCAAGCTGTAGCTGGTTTTCATTTAAGACATAACTGTCTTCTGACTTCCAATTCCTTTGCCACAACAGGTGACCCAACCCTTGCTGTTATGATGTCAGGACAATCTTCAGATGAAATGCTCCCTCCTTGGGAATACGAACAAACAAAATCGGATTTTGTTATCGGAGAAACGCCTCAGCTTGGGTCCAGTGTGCCTTAAGGGCCTTGGCGACGACACTACACACCTCTGGAAGGCAGGGACATTTTAACCCTTGACTCCTTCTCGCCAGGAGTTACCTGGCCTCCGCTGGCAAGCAGTCTTGAAGGCAAGGGACAATCAAGCGCATTTTAATACAAGTTACTATACTGACACTAGGTTCGAACCAGTGAATTCACATTCACAAGCAGGAATCTGATTTTGGGAACACTCAAAAGAAGAAATGGCCGCTTAATGCACAAGCTCACACAGGTCCGCAGCAAGACGGGTTCAGAGTTCTCGTTTTCCCCACAGGCTGAAACCTGTGCAGCATCCTAAACTTTAAAAGTTGGCATCTTTTCACATTCCCCACCCCGGGAGCAAGAGGAAACTCAACTGTGATTCTTGACTTGAGTGAGGGGAACACATGAGAAAGAATGTGAATTATATAGACTCTATGTATGTATATTTTTAAAAGAGAATGTTTAAACGTGGCCAGATTGAAAAACTGAACTCTGAGTTCAGCTGGCTATGTTTCACGCTGAAGGAACTCAAGTTCAAACATCAAGATAATATACTGTACAGGTGGTGACCGTTTTGTGCGCATCCGATAGATGTGCGACCGCCAACCCACACATTGTTTTCGGCCTTGGGAGGGGGTGGAACAGGCTTACGTGTGACCGCTGAGACATGCAATCACCCAGAATGCAACCCCCACACAACCTGTACTTCCTTAAAAAAAAAAAGTATTTATTTTAGGGATTTGTGATATGAAGATTTTCAAAATGGAGCTGGCTTTAGGGCTGGTACCAGGCCAGGGCCATCTAGGGCAGCGCAAGGGCATCCATACTGGAACCCAGACTCAGAAGGTGTGATCTCCAGTTCAGGGATCCACAGATCAGTGGGCTGAATTGGAAGCTGCACATCGTCCTGCTCTGTTGACCAAGCAAAGGTCTAGGCCTGGCTCCTAGTGTCTGTACCAGGCCTGGCCATCCCAAAGGCTTCAGTCTGCCTACCAATGGGCTGGTGTTACCCTGTGCAGCTGCAATGGGCTATCGTGGCCCACATTGGCCACACAGAGCATCCAGACTGGATGCTAAACTGCATCCCAGCAGCAGACCCTGCAGTTCCTGGTTCAACCCCTGGAACTCTCAGCAGCTTTGCATCTCCTTCCTATGCCGTATTTCCAAAAACACGCACTAAGGCTGCAATCCCGTGCACACCTACTTGGGAGTAAGTCCCACTGAGCTCTGCTGGGCTTATTTCTGAGTAAACATGCACAGTATTGCACTGTAAGGTGATCTGCAGAAAAGTATTCTGGGTGAAATGGAGCAGTGCCTTTTTATCAACTGTGAAAGAGAAAGGAGATATATTTTCTTACTGTCAAATGTTTTAAGTAGTGAATAGCTAATTGAACTATGGGCTTTTAATTCTCGTATCTGTTTTCTACAATCAATATTGCAGGGAATTAAATAATGTTTTGTTTTATAAACAGCCCCCTCCAAAGCTGATGTAGAATTTTAGTGCAGAGGAGCCTGAGTGGTCTCACCTTTTAAAAAAAATAATAATAAAGTTGATCCACATGATATAATCTTATCAAGAAAAGTAGATGAAAAGTAGACACAAGTTACAGAGTGAATTTTAAAAATCTATAATTATTATTATTTTTTACACCATTAGTTCCTCAAATACTGTCGTCTTCTGTGTTTGACAGTTCTTTTTAAGTGCCATGACCTCAGGTCACTTAAGCTTCATAGTACTGTAAATTGATAAGTCTGAGGTGTGTGGGTGTGGGTGTGTGTGTTCAAAAGGAGAGCTTGATTTTTATCTTGATACTAAATAGATTATGATTTAGGGCCAGCTAAAAGACTTACAGTGCAGTCCTATACTAAAAAAATGCCCCATTGAGTTCAATGGTGTTTTACTCCCAGGGAAAGTGAGAGTCTAAAAAACTGACATGGGCCTACAGTGTTTAATGGTTTCTCAAAAGTAATGTAAAAATTGGTGACTTTCACAATTGCCATTACTTCCCAATATTGTTTTACACTTGGCAGGAACACTGCATTTTCTCATTACGAAGAACATTCTCCCTTTGTAATGGAATAGGCAGGTCAACCGCATTTCAGAACAAGTCGTGAACAGAAGGAGCCAAAATCTAGAATGGCTTTCTGAGTCGTTGATTCAAGTCAGACATCACTTCCAAACCATAGTATGGAGCAGCTTTTCCAGTGTAATTTTCTTTCTTCTCAGTACTCTAGTTTTTGCATTTAGCGGCCTCTGGAAGTGAATAAACTTGCTGCAACTACAGAACTGTCAATCCAAACACCATGGGCAACCTTATTTAAACCATGGTCTATAAATTCACTTCCATCCATGGTTTCTGATTCTGGTTTGCTGGTAAACTTAATCAAATATTGTACGAAGCAAAACCTCTTTATATCTGCATGGTTATGAATGCCTTCAACATCAAATATAGGACTCCTCTAAAACAAATTTCTCTTCAGTGTACCTTTGTGATTTTAAATGCCTGATTTTTCAGTTCATACATGCATGCCCATTTCTTGATGGGTTGTAGTTGGACATGTGTACTAACTCCATTTAAAAGTGCAGTTTTTGAGGGGAAGTCACATGGTGTTATGAAAGTTGTTTCTCTGGTCTTTGATATTCCAGTTCTCTACTGGTGAACATGTATGCCCTTAGCCTCATTTTTACTAAAGTGCCGGCAAAACTTTCCCTAGAGTCCAGCTTTGTGTGGATATATCTTTCACATAGATATTTGGTTTGACCTCAGTAGACTAAATCACAGATATGTACTAGCAAATGTCATGTACATTTCTGCAACCTTTCAGTTCTGTGTGCCTCTTGTTTTAAGGGACGCCCACCACAAAAAAATTATCTGTTATTTCTCCCTGTGAAAATTAGTTGCAAGATGGTGTTGAATCTAGAAGGCATTTTTCAGGTCTAGAAGTGAAAAATTAGGATGTGTAAAAGCCAAGGCACAATAAAGCCAAAGCTAAGGGATCACAGATGTAATCCTATATCCCCTTACCTGGAAGTAAGTCTCATTGAACTCGGCATATGACTATGCTGTTAAAGACCTAGTGGCTTAATGGGAGAAATGTAATGCTTAACTCTCCCAGGGTTTTGGGGGGTGTTGGCAGCAAACTTACGCTGGAGTGAGTGGATTTCTGCTGAAGGCTGTAAGCTGATAATCAACACAGATACTCTCATGAATAAGGGCAATAAAAGTGAATATGCCCATCAGTGGGCAATTTGCTTTGATTCAGAATCGTTGTCTATTTTATGTAAAGAGGATATATTAAATGGTGTATTCTCTCTATGTTTTGCTATGTTGCACTATTAAGCCTGTTGAATTTGTGGCAGTGTGTGTGTGTGTGTGTGTGTGTGTGTGTGAGAGAGAGAGAGAGAGAGAGAGAGAGAGAGAGACAGACACAGTCTTTATTCAAATGAATTTTCTGAACTGTGAAGAGACAAATATACTGTAGTCTATGTGTGAACAAATCAGAATGTAGGAAAAGCTGAAAAATATTTATAATGTGCCTTAAAAACCATACTATAAAGAGCTGGTGCTTTTCAATGACTTTGCAGTGATTTCTAGGACGTCTCGACTTTCTTTGTGATATTATTAAGTGACTCTTTTACTTGGGAAATAAATGTCTTTATAAATGTTTAAATACTAGATTGCACAAGGACCATTGAACGATAAATTGTAGGACTTTGATGTACGGTATCCCAAAGTGTATATTTAAAAAGGTTGCACATTACCAAAAAAAGAAGATATATAATAAAGATAACTTATTGGATCTATTTCTTTATAATGTCAACAGGTTCCTATTGATAAGGAAATAAAAGAAGAATGTAGGAGCAGTCTTGCTGGGTCAGACCATCTAGGTCCCTCAGGCCCATTTTACAGTTTCCAACAGTAGCCAGTCCAATACCTCTGGAAGCATACAAACAAGGCTGTTCTGCTCTCCTATCTTCTGGTGCTTGTGAGGTATATTGCCTCCGTATTTGAAGGATCCATGCAGTTCTCATGGCTATTGACCTCAAGACTGCAACAGTAGCTGGGAATGGGGAGTCCTATGCATTTCTTCCAGATCGTTTCTCATCTTGGCAATATCCCTTAAGGAAAGGAGGAACCAAAGAACCTTAGGTAACAGGGCATCAGAGCTCTGCTCAGAAACACTTGGATGCAAAGCAGTTTGCAGGCTCCAGTCATCCACTAACTGGATAGCTCAGTTGGTTAGAGAGTGGTGCTGATAATGCCAAGATTGCAGGTTTGATCCCCATATGGGGCAGCTTCATATTCCTGCATTGCAGGGGGTTGGACTAGATGATCATCGGGGTCCCTTCCAACTCTACAGTTCTGTGATTCTATAATTCAGCTCAAAGTCGCTGTGGAAAGCTGCTCTCAGGACAGGATGCGGATGACAGGGCAGTCATCCATCCCCAGCAGGGTTCCTGGTTTAATCAAACTGCCTCCTCTGAAATACGTTTTGTCCCCTGAGAGGAAAGATACAGGTACTCAAGGCTTCATAGCTAAAGAAGCTTAGGTATGGTTTGATATGACGTCTGGCTTAATAAAGCTATGCATGTCAATGTCTGGAAAAGCAGAATAGTGGTTTGAATGGTTTTCAAACCATGGTTCAGAATTATGCCTGAATTAGCAAAGCATAATTACAGCCATCCCTTCACCTCTATGGAGATGGGAGTGAATTTGGAGCTGAGATGATGGCTTGCTTGTTGCATATTTAGAACACAAACTAAACTCTGGTTTGAGTTTCCAGACTGCTTACTGTAAGCCATCATTTAGTTTGATATCTGAGTGGAAGTAGCATAAATACAATAGTCCAATTACCATAGCACAGATGGATTGATAGTGTGCTTTCAAGGCTGATTGTGGACATGTGGCCCCCAGCAGATTACTATGGAGAAAGTAGTTTGTGGGATGCAGTTTAACATGCACACCCTAAATGTGCACAAAATCTCTTCACAGTCTTAATTTGAGCAAGCCATTCAAAGGGTCTCGTTTGCTTTTTCCATTCTGAAATCTTGCTTCCTGTTTCCCTATGTGTGAGTTCCCCTCCCGCATTGCATTATTCTGTTGGATTCTTTGTGAATGATGTCATCCGTAATTAGAAGCCAATGTAAAAATGAGAATGATGACCACTTTATTCCATTACAGTGACAGCAGGTTTAGGACCAGCGACCTTGTGACCCTGGTCCTGTCCAAAGGCAACACTTGGGAGCACAGCTAAGAGAGAGTCCCAGGCTTGCAGTCTTTTCAACAACAAGGGCAGTGGGGTATAATGCTGCCTAGGAATGCAAGACGCAGCTGGGCTTTGGTGTGCACATTCTGTAGTATTGCCTACCGCAACCAAGGAAACTTGACACAATAGCTAGCTGGGCAAAACAATGAGGTTAGAGGAGGAGGAGGGAGCGGGGAGAGAGGCGACTGGAAGGAAAACAAGGATGATGAGCAATCAGAAAGGGTGAAATTAGGGTAAGAACACGCCGTGGTGTTCCTTGAGCATGTCTTGGGCTTCTTAAAAGATGCACACAAAGAGAGTCTTGGTACAACCCATTCCTGAAACTAAAGCCAACTGGGACATGGTTGTGTTTTGCAAATTACAGCAGCCTTGACAGAAAAGCTTCACTAATAAAGTTATGTTCAGCTTTTAAGCAAACATTCTAAATACATTGCTCTGAGCTAGAAAAGAGCCATGGGACAACAAAGAGATTTTAGTCATAGTTTCAGCAATGGCAAAAGACCGGCTTTTGGAAACATTCAGCTGCAGAGGTGGGGGGAGAACGTAGCACACAACCCACCTCCTCCTGTGCACACTGCCATTCCGAGCAAAGACACTGACAGGCTTGTGAAAGTCCCACGCTAGGTACTTCCCAGACCTGCCCCCCCTTCTACCTGAAATACAAGGTGGCTGAGGGTTGTGCTGTGTTGGGAGCCAGAGTCAGGAGTAGGTCAGCAATAAAAACACCAATGTTAGTGAAGTTAACTCTTTATTCAAGAAACCAAAGCAATGCAGTCCTAGTGATCACAGCAACGTTTCCCAGTGGTTCTTGCCCCAGTGAGGCAATTACAAGGATGGAATGTTCCTGCCTTCCTATCACGCTCTAACGCTGCTCAGCCCTCTTGTACCTCTTTGTTCTGCCCTCTTCATTCCTCTCTGTGTTCTGAGAGTCTGGGGTTGGGGGGGGGCTGGTCACAGCAGGAGGGCAGACTCTCCGGCTTCTTCAGCAGCTTGTCTCAACTCTGCCTCTTGGCCCCCCTCCTCTCCAGCTTCCACTTCAGCCTCCATGTCTGAACTGCTCTCTTCCACGGCCTCTTCCAGCTCACTAAACCCTGTTACCACTTCTGCTTCCGACACGTCCTCCTCCCACACTGCCCCCTTTTTCCCTTCCAACCACAGTGAGTGGTCCCAACACCACTCCCTGAGCCTTCTTCCCTTGGGGTTCCCAAGCTTGTGCCACCACTCCTCAGCATCCACGACATGCTGCCACTTCTTCTCTTCTCCTTAGTAAAGGGTAAAGGGAACCCTAACCATTAGGTCCAGTTGAGGACGACTCTGGGGTTGTGGCGCTCATCTCGCTTTATAGGCCGAGGGAGCCGGCGAACTTCTGGCGAACTAGAGCAGCGCACAGAAATGCCGTTTACCTTCCCGCTGGAGCGGTACCTATTTATCTACTTGCACTGGCGTGCTTTCAAACTGCTAGGTTGGCAGGAGCAGGGACCGAGCAACGGGAGTTCACGCCGTCGCGGGGATTTGAACCGCGACCTTCTGATTGGCAAGTCCTAGGCTCTGTGGTTTAACCCACAGCGCCGTCACATCTAACTTGCATCTTATTCCCTGTCTCCCCCAGAATTCCCGGTTTCTTTTATCTTCGATGATACATTGGGCAATAGATATGAAAGCATGAGAATGATTGTGGAATATGGATATATATTTTACAGCGTGCTATAGTTTAAGAGAAAATTATATGAAAATGTTTTATCGATGGTACCTAACACCGAGTAAATTGGCAAAAATGTATAAATCAAAATCAAGTAAGTGTTGGAAATGTAAAGAGAAAGAAAGTTCTTTTTATCATATGTGGTAGTCTTGTAGTATAAGGTTAAAGCTTACTGAGAAATTATAAATACTGAATCGAATAAACTATTTAAAATAATGTTTGTAAAAAAACCCCAGAAGCCTTCCTGTTGGGAATTATAGGGACAGAACTACCCAAACTGTATAGAAATTTATTCATGTATGCAACTACAGCGACATGAATGTTACTTGCCCAAAAATGGAAAGAAGAAGAAGTCCCAGCGAAAGAAGAATGGATACAAAAACTTATGGAATATGCAGAAATGGCAAAACTTACTGGAAAAATAAGAAATCAGGATAACAAACATTTCAGAAAAGAATGGAAATGGTTTATTGAATATTTACAAATAAACTGTAAACAGATAAGAACATTGGCAGGATTATTGTAACAACCTGCAGTTTTAGAAGAATATATATTTAAAGTAGATGAATAAATGAGTAAATTAATATAATTTGGATATGCAGAAAATATTAAATATTAAACTATTTATTATATTAAAATATTAAAAATAATATCACATCAGATCCAATCAACACCGGAAAACTGTTGTTGTTATTGTTTTTGTTATATTAATGAATTTCTATTTTATACATTTGAATAATTTTACAATCATTTTAACATTGACTTCCTTCCCCCTCTTTCTGCAGTTCCTTAAATTTAATTGCAGAAAGAGGGGGAAGGAAGTCAAGTTTTGAAATGTTAAAATGATTGTAAAATTATTGAAATGTATAAAATTGAAAATTATTAATAAAATAATAATAATAATAAATAAATAAAACAGTTTTCCGTTGTTGATTGGATCTCATGTGTGTGAAACAATAACATCTGCATACAGCCCCGGGATATATTCTTTTCCATTGATTATGTCCTTTCCTGCCAGAATTTAGCACAGTCTAATTGCCAAGGGTTCCAAGATTATGGCGAATAATAAAGGTGACAGTGGGCACCCTTGCTTTGTCCCACAGTCATTTTGATGTTTTTGTGAGTCTATATTATTTATTCTAATTGTGGCGAATGTCGTGCCATAAATGTTCTCTAATAATCCAATGAATTTTGGGCCAAATCCAAACTTTTTTTATCACTTTAATTAAATACCTGGGTTTTACACAATCAAATGCTTTAAATATATCTAATGATAGACAGGCTAATGTTGACGTTTTCTGCTTGCTGTGGTATATTAAGTTCAGTAATTTTCTAACTGGGTCTGTAATTTTGCGTCCTGGAACAAAACCTTCTTGGTCCAGGTGGAGGTATTTCCCAATAATGCTTTCGTTCTGTTAACCATTATTGTTGTAAAGATTTTATAGTCAAGATTAAGTAGAGAAATTGGGCTATAAGATTCCACCAGAGAATGATATTTACATGTTAGTACAATTCTTGAGTTTCTGGCAGTGAGTCGCCAGCTAAGATTGTACAATTTAGTCATATGTGGAATTATTAGATCTTTAAATGTCTTATAGAATAGTGAAGAAAGTCTGTCTGGGCCGGGAGACTTTCCCACCTTTAGGTTTTTTCTTACTTCTATTACTACTTCTTCTGTAACTGCTGTTTCAATATGTTTTACCTCTATGTCCTTTACAGTTGGTATTTTTATTGGACTAAGAATTCTTTTTATCATTTTTGAAGGAGGGGATTTTGAATGGTACAAACAGGATTTTTTTTTTAACTCTTCACATATGTTTTGTGGAGAAGATCTCATT